CAGCGCGGGTGCGGGAAGGGGCGCTCACCGCCGATGAGGATAAGCCCGTCGAGCTTAAGGTCGACGCACGTGGCCTTGGCCTTGGCCTGCAGCTCCGTCGACGACATCTGCGCCACGGACCGTCCGAGCAGATCGTATCCGCCTGCCCCATGGGAACGGGCAAGCATATTACGAGAAAACGGGAAAGAAAATAAGTTGTTGGAATAGAGCTGCCGCGGCCAGCCGTTGAGCCGCATTGACCAGGATCTGACGGAAATGAAGCAAGACTCATTAAGTTGTGGCGCAGGTGTGGGGAAACGGCGCAGACGAAACGAATCTGGTTTCCCATGGAGGGTGGCATGGCGTACCTTGGTTCTTGTAGAGCGAGAGCACCTTGGCAGTGATCTCGAGAGTATTCTTCTCGAACACGCCCTTGTAGCCGCCTTGAGAGGGACGGACAGGAGCCACGTGGCAGGGGATAACACGGACACATCGGAAGTGGTGATTCGTATGCGCGTGCATACGGCTCGGAGAAAGAGACAGAGAGGAGAACAAAAACGCGTAGGCTTGCACGAGAGCAGCACACCGGAGCAGACCGAGGAAATGCGAGGTTGGAGGGGTCTTAAACAGCGCGTACCGACGAAGCCGAGCAGAGTGCTATCGGCGTGGTGCGCCTTCAGAGCATCGAAGAGACCCGAGATGATGTTGTGCCCGCCGGGTGACTGACGGCCAGAGAACAGCACTCCCACCCTGACGGATTCCGTCAACGAACACAGAAACGTATGGAGGAAAAGGACGAACCAAACAGAAAGCAACATCAGCATTGAAATTTCTCGAATGACTCCATAAATCATACGAGAAAAAAAAATCCGGAAAAGCTGAAAGCTAGAAAGGGATGCATACCTGAGGGGACCCGAGGCCTTGGCATGGGCCTTGGCACCTGGGCATTTGTCAACGGGGACATTGACGAGGGAGAGCAGCGAGGAGCCGTATGTCCGGGGAAACTTGCGTTGCACCGCGATGCGGTCCGACGGCTCCAGCGTCGCGGTCTCGAACCCTCCTACTACTGTGACGGAGTTGGACTGCAACAGTTCAAACATGTGGAATAAACAAGATCGGACGACGCGACCTGTTAGGACCATTACTCATGCGTTCATCGTTTTCTCCTCAAGTGGAAAACAATATTTGCTTTCACGTTCTTTCAAGATTCGTTCTCGCGGTTTCTAGATCGCTTTGAGGGAAAACCTAAAGTGACCGCGCGGAGCGGAAACAACAACAGTCTGAAATATGGGCAGTAAATATCCCAACCTGGAGAACCGGAGGGAGCTTTGGTTTGTAGGTGGTGCGCAGCTTCTGCAGGTCGCTCATGTTCTCCACCTCGAGACCCATGCTGGCCGGTGAGATCGAAGAAGGATAGAGAGGAGATGTCAAGAGTCAAGACGAGACTCTCGAAAGCTAATGCTTCGCAAGACTACAAGCTCTGCGAATAGATGTAGATAAGCTGGCGTAAAAGGTAAGATGCCAAATGAGTGCTCCAAAATAGAATGACGCATGAGCAGAGGAAGGACATGCACCAACAGAATTCCCAAACAGAGTTTTGGGAATCTCCCTGGGCAATGGAGTGTGGAAAGTATGCGGGAGGAGGATTCAGGAGATGCTGAGCTGGGGGGAGGTTCGGCAGGAGGAGGAGATTCCGGAGGAATTCCCGCGGTGAAGTGAGTCAATCTGTCGTCAGGGTAGTCACCCTTTTACATATTTTAGCCCCTGATCCTCACCCTGTGTTTCCAAGGTAACAGATGTTGATGGTAATATGGACACAGACCATTTCTTGAACTGGTTGTTATTTGTTACGCTGCTCCCCGTCGGCGGGGACTACTTAGAGGGGTACTTTGAATGACGGTATGACTGACAGCACAAAAAGTAACCCTCCTCCGACGTGGAATCCAGAGCTGCTCTTGTTTCTGTGCGCACTGCCACAGCGGATAGTGCGGCTAGGCGACCGTGTGCTGGTTCGCAGGGGACGGTGCTGACGAGGCCAAGATACCAAATAATCTGGAAATCTCCAAAGCCGCTGCGCTTTCTCGCTTGTTCCCAGGAACGCAGCAGCCACGTCGGAAAAGTATCGTCACAAATTACAGAATAGATAATTATTTTCAAGCAATCGAAACAGCCGCCCTAGCTCAGTCGGTAGAGCGCAAGGCTCTTAACCTTGTGGTCGTGGGTTCGAGCCCCACGGGCGGCGTATCTGTGCCAAGCCGTTTCAACCGGTCATATTTGCCATCCGTTTCATAATGAAGCATTTTACACTGAATTTTCGAAACCTAGGCCAATTTTCCCCCACGGCTGTTCGATGGACCCTTTGCCACCTGGTCCCTCCATACATGAGGACATATCCTAGTTGGTGTAAACATGACGTAATTACCACAATTTGTGTGGAATAACTGCTAGCTGCTCAGCCGCCTTTTTCGTCATGCTTCGTCAAACTTCTCGCCTGTCACCATGTGACGTCGCAGCTGTACGTACCACCGATGAAACATTTTACAATTTTCGGTGTACCTAACCGTCCGAGCGACTCCCGTCCGTCTGCCGGACAGAGCAACCAAACCGCCATTTGATTGGCCTACGAGAAATTAAACGAAATACATTTCCCCCAATCAAAAGTCGCGCGACGCGATTTTCCCCCGAATGCACCTCAGTAACAAGTATCCAGTGTTACAATATAACACTGTTTCCAATTTCGAGAAGGAAAAATGTTCCAGATTCCCCGCCCGGACTAACCTCCGTCCGGGCGCGATGCTCGAACCGTCCGTACGCGTATTTAGTACGGTTTGCGGACCATCGTCTGGATCAAACGGCTAATAAAAAAATGTAACACGCCCTAAATCTTCTTCATTGCGAAGAGATCTACCCTCATCCCACCTCCCCTGCCCTCATCCCACCTCCCCTGCCCTCATCCCACCTCCCCTGCCCTCATCCCACCTCCCCTGCCCTCATCCCACCTCCCCTGCCCTCATCCCACCTCCCCTGCCCTCATCCCACCTCCCCTGCCCTCATCCCACCCCCCCTACCCTCATCCCACCCCCCTGCCCTCATCACCACTCCCCTGCCCTCATCCCACCCCCTGCCCTCATCACCACTCCCCTGCCCTCATCCCACCCCCCTGCGCTCATTATCCCCCGCCACCAACCTATCGTCATGATCACGAACGACGTTCGACCCAACGTGCAACCCCCTGATTATTCGGATTTTCTTGATCGTAGGAAAAAAAAAAAAATCCCATGATTCACAGAAACAAGAAGAAGACAACATATTATCAGATGTAGTTTGCTTTCTCTCTGCTGCGAAAAGATGTTGATCGTTGCCAGGATCTACTCGGGAAGGTTCGCACAGAGAAATGAAGTTGGTGGGCCCTTGACCTCAATAGCAGAGTGGATGTAAAATGCTTGAGATGATTAAAACATGCAAATACAACGATATAAATAAGAGTACAGGGAAGGCGAAACGTCCTAGCTAGCCATGTACTCTAAGGGGTACATTCCCTTATTCAAATTCATTCCCAACCGTGCGGCGCGTACAGTTACGAAAACTGTTCCCGCCAAAGCCATCCTGCCTGCAGCTGTCGATGCCATCTGCCCCGACGGTCCAGATGTGCTGTAACTGTCTGACGCTTCGAGTCAATTCTTAACCGTCTGACTCTTCGCGTTCGTTCTCGATACTGCATGCTTCCTTTTGCTGCGGTGAGGAGTGCACGGCAACATTCGGGTATTACTATTCGTAACACCCCCCTTCACTCCTGGCCGTAGCTCGACTTGACCTGCTTGACCACGCCGCTGAGTTTGGAGCAGTGCTGATACTGCTGGCGTGGCAGTCGCTTCGTCAGGAAGTCTGCTGCCATGTCACCGGTCGGGCAATAGGTCAAGTTGACCTTGCCCTTGTCTACTTCGTCCTTCACGAAGAAATACCGCAGCGCAATGTGCTTGGTGCGGTTTGTTAAACTGTATTATGCTTGTAGGCTGTAGTGGGGTAGCCAATATGGGGTACAACCCCAACTAGGGTTTCATATTTGTACCCAAACTTCTGCTAGTTGATTCATTCTTGCCTCGTTATTCTGAGATGGTATTCAGAGCAGGAGGTCCCTAGGACCTACCGATCGTTTTTTTTTAAGGGCCCACCACCGCTCGCATGCGGTTACCACGCTACCCCGTACCCTAGCCTCGTAGCGCCCTCGTGCGCCCTCGTTAGCGCCCTCGCGCGCCCCTCGTTAGCGCCCTCGCGCGCCCCTCGTTAGCGCCCTCGTTAGCACCACTCGTTAGCGCCCTCGCGCGCCCCTTGCTAGCGCCCTCGCGCGCCCCTCGCTAGCGCCCTCGCGCGCCCCTTGCAGCGTCGCCCGCCCGCCGAGCCGCCCGCTCGCTGCGTCGCCCGCCCGCCACGCTGCCCGCTCGCCCCTCGCCCGCCGCGCTGCCTGCTCGCAGCGTCGCCCGCTCGCCCCGCTGCCCGCTTCGCAGCCCGCTCGCTCGCTGCCCGCTTCGCAGCCCGCCCGCCCGCTCGCTGCCCGCTTCGCGGCCCGCCCGCTTCGCTGCCCGCTCGCAGCGCCGCCCGCCCGCCCGCTACCTGCTTCGCAGCGTCGCCCGCCCGCTTGCTGCCCGCTCGCAGCGTCGCCCGCCCGCCCGCTGCCCGCTTCGCAGCGTCGCCCGCTCGCTCGCTGCCCGCTCGCAGCGTCGCCCGCCCGCCTCGCTGCCCGCTCGTAGCGTCGCCCTCTCGCCTCGCTGCCCGCTTGCAGCGTCGCCCGCCCGCCCGCTGCCCGCTTGCAGCGTCGCCCGCCCGCCCGCTGCCCGCTTCGCAGCCGCCCGCCGCGCTGCCCGCTCGCCGCGTCGCCCGCCCGCCCCGCTGCCCGCTTCGCAGCCCGCCCGCCGCACTTCCCGCCTGTGCACCGCCGCTTGCTCCTGCTGTGGCTGCTAGCCTCGCTCTAGCGCGTCCCCTCTGCTGCTGCCGCTGCTCTGCTGTGCCCTCACGCCTGAGCTATGGCCTCTATTCGCGTTCTTTCTCTCGATGCTGAGGGCCGTCCCGTGCAGTTTAATTCCTGGCTCGACGACTTGCAGTTGTATCTTATGAGCAATAGCACGGACCACATCTCCCTCTATGACTACGCGTCTGGTGCTGCCGCTGCTCCTGCTGCCACAGCCGAGCTTAGTGTACGTTCACAGTGGCAGACTCGTGACGCTGCAGCTCGCCTGGCTATTCGCAGTCACCTGCCGTTACCTGAGCTAGAGCACTTTGGCGACTGCAAAACCGCTAAGGCCCTATACGACGCTGTCGTCGCTCGCTACTCCTCACCTGCCACAGCCGAGCTTAGCCGTCTCATGCTGCCTTACCTGTTCCCTGACCTGTCCACCTTTGCTACAGTCGCCGATCTTATCACCCACCTTCGCACTAGTGATGCTCGCCTGCGTGCCGCCCTTCCCACCGAGTTCTGCGCTAAGAACCCCCCTCCCCTGTACTGGGCACTCCACTTCATAGTCACCCGTCTCCCTGACACCCTCAGCTCAGTGCGCGACTATTTCCTTGCTCGCTGTCCCACTGAGCTCACTGTCGCCCTCCTAGAGGAGAAGCTGCTAGCAGCCGAGAAGAGCATTGTAGCTGTTGGTGCTGCTCGCGGCGCTCCTCGCACCCCCATCTTTGAGGGGTGCTCTCCCTCTCCCCTCGCTCCCTCCTATGCTACTGCTGCTGCTGTTGACTTCCTTGGTGCTGAGTCTGCTGGCGCTGCTTCTGCTCCTGGTGGGAGGCGCCGCACCGGCAAGGGCAAGGGGGGCAAGGGTGGCGGGGGTGGCGCTGGGGGGGGAGGGGGTGGGGGAGGTGGGGGGGGAGGCGGTGCTGGAGGGAGCGGTGGCGGGAGTGCCGGTGGGAGTGGGGCCGGCGGCGGAGGCGGGGGCGGCGGCGGGAGCAGTGGCGGTGGTGGCAGCGGCGGCAGTGGCGGCGGTGGCGGTAGTGGCGGTGGCGGTGGCGGTGGTGGCGGTCGGAGCGGAGGTAGTGGCGGCGGTGGAGGTCGGAGTGGAGGCACCGGCTCGGGCCAGAGCTCCCAGCAGCAGCAGCGTCCCCAGTCGACCCAGCAGCTTCGTGAGTGGCTTGCTCAGCGTGGGACGTCGGGGGGCAGTGGCCGCTGTTCTTATGTCATTCGCACAGGTGATCGCAAGGGGCAGACGTGTGGAAAGTTCCACACTCAGTACCGCTGCTTCTTCCGCCTTGACGACGCTTGGCGTGAGGAGATGGGCGAGGATGTTGAGCGCCCTCGCTGGGCTGAGCTGATGAGGGCTGGTGTTGATGTCTTTGCTCTTGACTATGATGCTATTATTGCTGCCATGTATGCATTGACTGTTAGTGCCGAGGGAGACTGTTACTTGTGTGTGCCGCCTGACCCAGGTATAGGGCCCGCTGCCCTAGGTACTAGTGAGTCTGCTCTCTCTGGTATGGTGCCCCCTGTACCTGCTCCCTCCTGCACTGTCCCTGCTGCTTGCGAGTCTGCTCTCTCAGGTACAGCACCCACAGAGACTGCTCTCTCAGGTACTGCACCGACTGAGACCTGTCACACCTTCACCCTTGACTCAGGTGCTTCCCGCTGCTTCTTTCGAGACAGTACTGAGCTCACACCGCTTCCTGCACCAGTCCCAGTCTCCTTGGCTGACCCCTCTGGGGGCCCAGTCCTTGCCCAGTCCACTACTGTGCTCCCTTGTCCGGCGGTTCCGTCTGGCTCGTTGACGGGTTTCCACCTCCCCTCGTTCTCGACGAACCTGGTGAGCAACGCTGTCCTCCAGGATCAGTGGGTTGACACCTTTACCCCTGGAGGACAGCGTGTGGCGATCTGCACGTGCTCCAGGACCGGCCGTCACCTGGCTACGTTTACTCGTCGGCCGGGGTCGAGTCTCTACACACTGACCACTGCGTCTCCTCAGGTCGCTGCTGTCGGTCAGGTGTCCGCGTCAGGTCTGGTGGCCCACGCCTGTGAGTGTCGTTCCCTGTCGCACCAGACTCTTCTCTGGCACGAGGGAGGGACCTGGGAAGACCAGACACAAGGCAGCGACGGTGCATGCCACGGAGGCGTGGCAAGGAGGGGTGACCCAGGCCGCACACAATGTGCGCGCTTCGGCGATGGGGCAGCTGACCTCTGCTCTCCCAGCACGCAGGCGCAACCAGACCGCGCTGACCCGGATGAGTAACGCAAATACTGGTAACTAGCATCTCAGTGTTCTGTTTTGGGAGGCTCACGGCCATGGTCTGACCAAGGACTGAGCCATGTTGCACCCTATGAACCCTTGCAACCCTAACCAGACTATCGCAACGGGCACCCCCCAGCTGACGCTCGCGCGGAGGTCCCTCACAGCGCGGCCTGACCACGAGAGCAGCGCTGCGTCTGTCTTCGACGATGTCAACACCGCCGTGGGGGGGCTCCTGTTCTACTACGACACCGTCATGCGCAACGCCGGCCTGCGGCCGTTTCCGGCGTGGGTACGTGCCCCACCCTGGCATGCAACGCACGCTTGGGCTGTGCGCTGAACCCACGTACTCCCAATCCTTCCAGCACATCCCCCGTGCACGTTAGTAGCACGCTAAACCCTCAACTCTGTTCTACGTCCCTGCTAGCAGCCCGCCCCTCCCCACCCCCACCATCTCTACCTGACCGCAAGCATTAACACATGCTTGCTCATGTACCCCCAAACACAACAGGCGCACACGGCAGTGGCGCTGCCGGCATTCCCCACCGATTACGGGCACATCCGGCCCCACTACGCCCGTGCCGCGGCGTCGATGCACGGCCACACGGCGTTCTCCTGCGTGGAGTACCTGTCTTCTGCTGGCCGTACCGCGTACGGCCGTCTGATCCTGGTGCTAGATGCAGAGAGGCCGCTGGACGATAGCAGCTACGAGCCTGCAGAGGTGGCTGTGCTGCAGCGGCTGAACCAACAGGGGCTCGCTGAGTGCACGGGCTGCCAGGTGCTCGAGCCGCCCTCCCTGTTTCGTGGGCTGGCTGTCGTCCCCATCGACCGGCTCCGGCGCGCTGTCCACTGCGTCCCTTCATTCTTGCAGAAGGACACGTGGTACCTGAACAAGTGGGCGTATCTGGTGAACCAGGAAATCCCCGGAATCACAATGGGGGGGTGCGCCCTCGAGCACCACTGCAGTGGTCCAAGCCAGACGCATGCAGCTCACCACTGTGCGCAGCCCATCAGCACGGCCACCCGTGAAATTGCCCCTCGTTTGCTGGTCCTCGCTGTTTCGTCTCATGTAAACCCTATTATGTTAGATCTTGCAATGCCTTGGCAGGTCCTCTATTATTAGACTTGTACTGGCAGTACTTGTGCTTGACGGGTGGGCGCGGCGTACCGTTGCCCGTGGGCGGTATGTATTATATACTGATTTTGCTTATGAGTTTAGAATGCCTGCATTACGGACACGTAGTACCCCCTAAACCAAGGCAGGGCTTCAACCACACTATCATACAATGCTTGGTAAAATGCGGCCTAAACGCTGACATTGAGCGAACAGGCGAGCGGCAGGCAGCAGGACGGTGACGGCGAGCGCGCGCGACGGCGAGCGGCGGCGGCGGCGGCGCGCGGCGGCGGCGGCGGCTTGTGACGGTGAGCGTGCGCGTGACGGCGACGGGCGGCGGGCAGCAGGTGGTGCTGCAAGATGTGATTTCGAGGAAGTGGAGCGCCGGGAAGACCTATGAGAGTGGCACCAACTTTTAACGAGATGGGTTTTATCGAGGCGTGAAGAAGACTGCTAGGAATGGGCTGCACGAAGAGTGCTCGCCAATAAAGCAGCTGCCTCGGCATGGTGGCGTGCAATGCAGAGAATAAATGCCCTGTCAATCTAGATATAGGCGGATGGGCATGAGGCAATGCGATATGATGATGCTAGGGGCGGTGCTATGAGATCTTATGTAGTCGCTCATTCCGTTGCCCATCATATTACAGCCGGAGGGTATTGATTGATGCGAGTGGAACATTGCAAGAAGGACGTAAGATAGGAAAAGTTTTTTTATCACCTTCACTAGCGGTAAGAAAGGCAAAAAGTGTCAATGACCTGGATCCAGGTGCTTGAACTAGAACCAGGTCCGAACCAGCTTTCATTCCCGTCACCTGCTTCATCACTGCTGGAGAGTCCCCTGTCGCACCAACTGCAGGCACCACCTCCCTTGCTTTCCTACTTCCTCTTCCCCACGCCTGTCCTTTCCAAGGAACCAGCACCAGCAGCAGCAGCAGAAGCGCAGCAGCATCAGCAGCAGAAGCGCTGCAGCATCAGCATCTGGCAGAACTGTGTAAACATAGCAGCCTGGATGGAAAATGTGGAATTGAATCATTGCAATCATAACAGCAGATCCTAACCACATCCTAAGTTATGAACATAACTCATGTTGTTGAATAAATGTTTAACTTCTTGTGTGGACTCTTCAAGCAACTGCTAGTTGCTCAGCCTTCTTGAGCTCCTGCTTGATGGAGAGAAGTGTTGATAGGAAACAAAAAGGACAAGAATCAAAGGGGGGCCAAGGGGCAGGGAGATGCAGAGATATGGAGAGGGAGAGAGAAAATCAGAAAAACGATATGTGGAGGGAAAGGGGGGAGGAGGGTGCGGTGGCCTCCATGCACTCATGTACCAAGAGTTTACCCAAGGAAACACATCCGACGAGGGCGGCCCATTGGTCACCTGAAAGAGGGCGGCCCATTGGTCACCTGAGAGAGGGCGGCCAATTGGTCACCTGAAAGAGGGCGGCCCATTGGTCACCTGAGAGAGGGCGGCCGATTGGTCACCTGAAAGAGGGCGGCCCATTGGTCACCTGAAAGAGGGCGGCCCATTGGTCACCTGAGAGAGGGCGGCCCATTGGTCAAGCACATGGATGGCCTTGCCGCTGCGCTGAGCCTCCTGAGCCATGGCTATGCCTTCACCCACGTCCTTTGCTACCCCACACGCTGCCAGCCCCGTGCCCGCGTTCAGCACCTGGGAGAAAAGTAGGGAGAAGCGAGAGGCGGAAAGGGAGCACCCGGGAAGGTGGGTGAGGAATGACACTGCGGCATAGGGGGAAATGTTTTACAAGGACAGTAGAAACAGGAAGCGAATGTGTTGAGTGATCAAGAGGAGAGCAGACGGTAACAGGCTCATAGCACTGTGCCTGCAGTTAGGCCTTCCTCATTCCCACGCACCATACGCCATGCACCAAGCGCCCACTTGTGCACAAAGCCATACTTTCACATCACACTGCTTCAATCAAAACCCTTGAGTGCCTTGTCCCCGCCCTTAAGGTCCTCTATTGTGCGCCGCGCTATGCCGTTAGGAATGAGCAAGGGGCGAACACGAACGTGTTCGCGTTCGCCCCTACACGAACACAGCCATTTGCCGAACCGAACACTGTTCGTTTCGGCGTACACCTTTAGGGCGGGTCCAGCGCGTAAGTTTACAGGTACTATACAGTTCATTTGTCGTGGTTTAAAAAGATATCAGGCGGTGCACAGCGGTTTCAAAATCGCACCGTTTTGAACCGTGACACAGTACAGATTACCACACTGGATGAACTGTAATGTACGGAAAACGTACGCGCTGGACCCGCCCTTAGCAAAAACAGGGGTTCGCTGTTCGCCTGTGAAGGCGTGTTCGGGCGAACCTCGAACACGTTCGTGTTCGTCGCGGGGCAAATTGCAGCACCGGCCCGAACACGAACGTGTTCGGGCGAACCTCGAACACTGTTCGGCGAACACTTTAAGCCAAAAAAACAAATCTGTTCGGTTCGCCTCGAAGGTGTTCGTTTTTTTGCTCATCCCTGTATGCCGTAGTCCACTGCGCAGGGGGAGGAGGAAGAATGCGCGGAACATCGTACAAAGGAGTCCTTCCAGGTCAGCACAACACGTGAGGCTACATATGGAAGGTAGTGCTTACAGGGGTCGACGCGGAAGGGGCGAACGGAGTCTTGTGTCACTTGAAGCATGTCTGCCGGGCCTCTGAGAGAGGCAGGTGGAGACGGATAAGGGTTGGCGGAGAGAGAGAGGAATGGAGTGAGCGACACACGAAGGAAGGCACAAGTGAAGGATATCCTTTTTCGCACACTGGCAGAGCGTGAGGAAACACAGGTGGCTCACATATGGCGCTGCGCTGCCATACAAGTCTAGATTCGCACAGCCTTCTGAACTGACTGGCCCATGGGGTGGGTTGCTTTGGACTGAGTGACCTATGGGGGAGAGTGACCTATGGGGGAGAGTGACCTATGGGGGAGAGTGACCTATGGGGGAGAGTGACCTATGGGGGAGAGTGACCTATGGGGGAGAGTGACTCATGGGGGAGAGTGACTCATGGGGGAGAGTGACCTATGGGGTGGCCTCACTGGTTCATGGGGTGGGGAGGACATACCCATTGGGAGAGACCTCACATACCCATGGGGGAGACCTCACATACCCATGGGGGAGACCTCACATACCCATGGGGGAGACCTCACATACCCATGGGGGAGACCTCACATACCCATGGGGGAGACCTCACATACCCATGGGGGAGACCTCACATACCCATGGGGGAGACCTCACATACCCATGGGGGAGACCCCACATACCCATGGGGGAGACCTCACATACCCATGGGGGAGACCTCACATACCTATGGGGGAGACGGACTGACCCATGGGGGAGACCTCACATACCCATGGGGGAGACGGACTGATCCATGGGGGAGACCTCACATACCCATCGGGGAGACCTCATCGAGCCCCTTGGAATGCACCACCAGCGCTCTGCGGATGCCCAGGCGCTGCAGCGAGCGAGCCATGAGGTCCACCTGAACGGTGCAGGGCGGTGCAGCAGGGTGGAGAGGACTACAAATTGCTTGTGGTTGTGTAACTTCATTGAATTCAATGGTAGAGTAACCAGAAACCCCCCCAGCGATGTAGGTTGTCCAGGTCGTTGACACATACAAACATCGTGGAAGTGAGTCACATCGTATAAACATTCAAGGCTGCATAGTGACATGTTCCACTACCCTTACAACTCAACTCTATGCAGCCTTGAATATTTATGCAACCAAAACGGCGCCTGATCCTTTACCCTAAACCCTAAACCTGGACCTTCTGCCCCGGCCACCATATGCCAGCTACTCTGCCTTTGAAGCCCCTCACAACTCCCATTTGACAGATATCCAGCGTAACTATACATGCTCGGATTCAGACAGAGTTATGGCGGCCTCAAAAGTAAAGCATCCCTGCTTTAGTTCTGACTCGCTAGGGACTCTAAGCGTAGGAAAACTGGACTCAAGAAATTCACTTACAGTATCCGGGTTGAAGACCCCCACAAGGACGTACGGGGCGAAAGAGGGGTTGAGCATGGGTCCGAGGAGGTTGAATGCGGTTCTGACTTTGAGGGCCTTGCGCACGGGAGCGACGATGCGCATGGCGGGGTGGAAGCGAGGCGCGTACATGAAGCCCACCCCCGCCTCCTGCACACAGCGTGCCACTGCCTGGTGGGGTGGGGAGGGGGGGTTAAAGACGACGGGATGGGTGGGAGTTCAGGGAGGGAGTAGGTGGGATGGCTGATCTCTCTAGCATGGAGTGGTTGCGAGGCGCGAACATGAAGCCGACCCCCGCCTCCTGCACAGAGCGCGCCACTGCCTGGTGGGGTGGGGATGGGAGAGGGGATGATGGGAGTATGGGGAGGGAGGGAGCACATGGGAAAGTTGATCCTTTGGAAGGGGAGGAAGCGAGGGCTGTACATGAAGCCCACTCATGCTTCCTGCACACAGCGCGCCACTGCGTGGTGGATGTGGGGAAGAGAGTCGTCAATAGTCCTGGAATGGTATAACGGTAAGGGGAGATATGCTAGAAACTCGAGTAAGCAGAGGAATAACGAACGGGTTTTGAAAGGTTGGAAACATATGGGTGGGGATAAATAAAGCGATATAGGAGATATGCTAGAAGCGCGTAGGAGGAAATGAAGAAAAATCTGAACACCTCTGATTGCATGCTACTACTGCACGCCATTATCACACCACTCTATCGCCATAGACTTCGCAGCAAGTTCTCACCTGCGGGCCAAAGTCAACCTCTCACCTGCGGGCCAAGGTCCACCTCGACGTTGAGAGCCTCTAGCACGTCTGCACTGCCACATGCACTCGACACCGAGCGATTGCCATGCTGCTCCAGTGGCGCCGCCAGGAGGGGTAGTGGAAGGTGCGGGGGAACAGAAGGTAAGAGACAATGAATAAGCAGCTGATATTCCATATATTATCACTCTCACTATGAATCAGCACTGTTGTGTGCACTGAGTACCGAACCCCCATGGGGGCAAGCACTCGGCAAGCCCCTAGTGACGCCTTCCCTCCTCTACATGTGCCTTCCCTCCTCTACATGTGCCTTCCCTCCTCTACATGTGCCTTCCCTCCTCTACATGTGCCTCCAACCTGCTTCCATGGCGTGCTTGTACTCGTCTGCACACACACTCATTCCAAGATTCGTGGTACCTGTGCCACATCCAACTGCCCTACTGGCCAATTCATTCACCTGACCCCACACACCTTGGTGACATGTGCACCGCACCGCACGTACACCGCAGCGAGCACACAGACCACACAACTTGTGGTCTCTGTGCCAAATCCGTCTGCTTAGCTGCCAAATTTGCCCTGGCCGAACACACCTTGGCCACATGTGCACCGCCTGCAGCTACACAGTAGTAGTCGCTGTTCTGAACCCACCTGCCTGCTGTCTTGCCTGAACCCACCTGCCTGCTGTCTTGCCTGAACCCACCTGCCTGCTGTCTTGCCTGAACCCACCTGCCTGCTGTCTTGCCTGAACCCACCTGCCTGCTGTCTTGCCTGAACCCACCTGCCTGCTGACTTGCCTGAACCCACCTGCCTGCTGTCTTGCCTGAACCCACCTGCCTGCTGTCTTGCCTGAACCCACCTGCCCTGCTGTCTTGCCTGAACCCACCTGCCCTGCTGTCTTGCCTGAACCCACCTGCCCTGCTGTCTTGCCTGAACCCACCTGCCCGACTGTAAAGCCAGACCCTACGCACCTTGGCGACATGGGCACCGCAGGCAGCAGCGAGCACGCAGGCGCCAGTGCTGATGTTGATGGTGTCAAAGCCATCGCCCCCCGTGCCCACTATGTCCAATGTGTCATCCCCCGCTGCCACCTCCGCACACATGTTTCGTTTAGAAGCATCTTACACTGAATTTCGAAACCCTGCCCAATCTTCCGCCAGGCTGTTTGATGGTCCCTTTGTCACCGGGTCCCTGCATACAAATGCTGGCTATACATGACGACACACAAGCTTTTCTAGCAACACATCTTAGTTGGTGTAAACATGGGGTAATTAACAAATAGTTTGAGTGGAATAACTGCTATAGCTGCTCAGCCTTCTTCATTGAGAAGAGATCTGCCCTCATCCCACCCTCCCCGCCCTCATCCCACCCTCCCCGCCCTCATCCCACCCTCCCCGCCCTCATCCCACCCTCCCCGCCCTCATCCCACCCTCCCCGCCCTCATCCCACCCTCCCCGCCCTCATCCCACCCTCCCCGCCCTCATCCCACCCTCCCCGCCCTCATCCCACCCTCCCCGCCCTCAGCCCACCCTCCCCGCCCTCATCCCACCCTCCCCGCCCTCATCCCACCCTCCCCGCCCTCATCCCACCCTCCCCGCCCTCATCCCACCCTCCCCGCCCTCATCCCACCCTCCCCGCCCTCATCCCACCCTCCCCGCCCTCATCCCACCCTCCCCGCCCTCATCCCACCCTCCCCGCCCTCATCCCACCCTCCCCGCCCTCAGCCCACCCTCCCCGCCCTCATCCCACCCTCCCCGCCCTCATCCCACCCTCCCCGCCCTCATCCCACCCTCCCCGCCCTCATCCCACCCTCCCCGCCCTCATCCCACCCTCCCCGCCCTCATCCCTCCCTCCCCGCCCTCATCCCACCCTCCCCGCCCTCAGCCCACCCTCCCCGCCCTCATCCCACCCTCCCCGCCCCACCCTCCCCGCCCTCATCCCACCCTCCCCGCCCTCATCCCACCCTCCCCGCCCTCATCCCACCCTCCCCGCCCTCATCCCACCCTCCCCGCCCTCATCCCACCCTCCCCGCCCTCATCCCACCCTCCCCGCCCTCATCCCACCCTCCCCGCCCTTATCCCACCCTCCCCGCCCTCATCCCACCCTCCCCGCCCTCATCCCACCCTCCCCGCCCTCATCCCACCCTCCCCGCCCTCATCCCACCCTCCCCGCCCTCATCCCACCCTCCCCGCCCTCATCCCACCCTCCCCGCCCTCATCCCACCCTCCCCGCCCTCATCCCACCCTCCCCGCCCTCAGCCCACCCTCCCCGCCCTCATCCCACCCTCCCCGCCCTCATCCCACCCTCCCCGCCCTCATCCCACCCTCCCCGCCCTCATCCCACCCTCCCCGCCCTCATCCCACCCTCCCCGCCCTCATCCCACCCTCCCCGCCCTCATCCCACCCTCCCCGCCCTCATCCCACCCTCCCCGCCCTCATCCCACCCTCCCCGCCCTCATCCCACCCCCCCTGCCCTCATTGTCCCCCGCCACCAACCTGTCGTCATGATCACGAACGCGGTTCGACTCAACGTGGAACCCACGGATTCTTAGGATTCTCTTGGATCGTAGGGAAAAAAAAAAAATTCCATTATTCACAGAAACAAAAAGATAAGACAGCATACGATCAGATTTAGCATGCTTTCTCTCCGCGAGTGGCACTGACGAGAGAGCGGAAAGACCGGGAACTTTCTGGAAGGGCCGTGTCGCTCTCACGTCGACCCGATCCGTGTCACAAACGGGATAGGTCGGAGCCTTCCGCCTTACCCTAGATATACTGATGACGTGGGCCTCCCTGATTCGCTACGACTATTAACGCGCACGTTACCAATGATGAGTTTCTAGTGCCGCGAATTGCTTTACTAAGACTGGGGTGGCAGAGGTGTGCTACTAAGAAGCGACTTGGTTTGAGAAGAAGCATCAGTGCGTTAGGATGCCGTTACTACCATGAGCACTTCGATTGAACGGCAGTACTCGGAAAAAACAGCCGCTCAAACATGATTTCTACAACGCAAAGACATAGGTCGAGGGAAACGCTGAGATTATGGCCAAGGAACAAGGTCGCCAAAGAACCCTAGAATGAGCATCGTAATGCCATGCTGGACCTAGTCACAAACTGCGCCCCGTGATTTCTTGCTGCATTTGTGTGCCTGCGAAATGCCAGAAACAACAAGCAACACAAATCATATGTTTGTGTTACCACCTGCGAAAGCTTTTGGCTTTGGTGTAGTTCGTCAAAGGAGCTGAGTTACCAGCCGTGCCACGAATACAAGCACACCGTTTTGGAGTTGCAAAGCCACAATGATTGTTGAGCCTCTCACTCTGGCTGGCAATTGACACGCTTCGCCTGAAATAATTGTTCACAGTAAATCCCCGAGGATGATGGAACAGAATGATCCCGCTCCCCCCCCCAGAAACAATTATCGTTGAGCCAATCACCTTCGCAACCTGGACTCACGAAGAGAACCACAGCCGTTTTCGTCACCATCGCCGTTCGTGAAGGGAACAAAATTATTGGAATCAAGCAGAGCACATACCCCAGTGCGCCCACAAGGGAAGGAAACCCACGAGGGCGACTCGAGCCGCTACTTGCGTTTGGCCCTGGGATTCCCGCTCCCCCAACTCACCCAACTATATAAACCGTCTGAAATTGACCTTATTATCATCAAAATCGACCACCGCCCTCCAAACATACTGTGTCTCAGTAATATTCCAACCTGCATTAAATATTCAGACTCGGTATTATTTCCCGCTTGCCTCGTTTGGGCTCTCAGATTCCGGCTGTTCCTAATCACAGCAGAAAGCTCCCGCAAGCTTTCAGCGATTCTTCCCCTCTGCTCCATTTCTCCAATGGCTCGCGTTTCCAAGTTTAGCGGCATAGTGTGCGTGGGAATCGTCCTGCTCGCTTTCGTCCTCACTCCTGCTGATGCCATGTATGCCACGTCCGCCGATCTGAACCGCGAGGGCACGTGCTACCGCGGCCAATTCGACTACAGCGAGAGTTCGGATTTCGACTACGGCATGGTAGCGCAGGTACCTTCGGGCGATTTCAACAGCGGCAAGGGCTGCGGAAGGTGCTACGAAGTTTCTTGCATCAACCACGGAAGCTGCTTGCAGGGCAGCGTGCTGGTGCGAGCGGTCGGCCAGAACGGCGATTTCAACCTCAACTTCGCCGCATGGGACAGAATCGTCGGCGATCGCGCCGCGGGGCGCGTGGAGATCGACTACCGCAGCGTGGACTGCCCTAACAATGGCGGACTGAAGGTTAGGCTCGTGGACGATAGCAACGCGTACAACTTCGCGCTTCAGATTCTCGGCGCGGCGGGGAGCGGAGGCGTGGAGAACGTGGAGCTGTCGAACGACGGGTCGCAGTGGTCGAGCATGACGACGTACGGATGGGGCGCCACGTGGGTGCTGAATCCCGCCAAAGACGTCGTCGACGCGGGGCTCCCGGTGAGCGTGCGCGTGACCAGCGGCGGGCAGCAGGTGGTGTTGCAAGACGTGATTCCGAGCGGATGGAGCGCCGGGACGACCTACGACAGCGGCACCAACTTCTAGGAGAAGTGGTTGCGAGTTGGGTGCACAAATGCAACAGTTGCTGCTTGTAACTGGACGCCCTGTAACGAGGTGGTGCGGCGCTCAAGCAGAGCTTGCAAATAATGCAGCTACCGTGGCGTGGTGGCATGCAAAGGGGTGAATAAAAGCCCGGCCCTCTATGGAGGTGAATGGACTGAAGCTTAGTGTGATCCGATGAGATGCTAGAAGTAATTGCTCGTTCCGCTAGGTAATTGCAAGGTAGCGGTAAGTGTTGCCACTGCGAGCTCTCCCTTACCTTCCACTATCATCCCTTAAAATTTCAATCATATGCTAGTGGTACACTATTCGTGCCAGAGCAACGTTCAGTAGAAAAGTGAGTACATCTTCAGGTGTGGCAAGACAATATATATGATTTTTTTTTTCCAAAACGTACAAGAATTTATTTCCACATGCAAATTGTTGTTATTTCCTTTCTTCGATGCTTATACACATTATACAGACACACAAAGTATAGTTAGGCAGCAGAAAAAGCGATTTCGAGAAAGTGGGTACCATGGTGAGAGGAGGGTGAGAGAGCACGGCAAATGTTGCTTAAACTACTGACGTTTATTGACACTGCTTTTTGAAATGACTGCAAATGCCAAGACTTGCCCAGGAACACCTATTGAGAGCCTTTGGACTCTAGAAAACATCAACATGCCCCTCCATTCCACCCACTTCCCGAAACTCTTTCCTCCTTTGTCTTGCTGCAGGCAACTTTCTGCTTTCCCCTGACGTCACTAACTACCATGTTGAATGCCCTCAATACGAGCCAGCTCCAGGCTGAAATCAGCCTGCTCAGAGCTCTCAATCTCAACCTCTGCCAGTACGCAGCTCGTGCCCGGACGCGAGGCCGTGGGCATGACGGTGCAGGTGAGTGTCAGCTTTTTGGCTTTCCTGTGATGTCACTACCAACCTGAATCCCCTCTATACGAGCCATCTCTAAGCAAAAATCCGCCTGCCCAGAGCTCTCAATCTCGTGGTCGATGCGGGCAGCCATGCGGTCCTCGTCCTCCCCATAGAACTCCTCCTTGAGCAGCAGCAGCTCCGCCAGCACGCGGCTCATGCCCGGGCGAGACGCCGTGGGCATGGCGGTGCAGGTGAGGGCCAGGCGTGCCATGCGCAGCACCAAGTCGTCCGGTGCTTGCAGGTGCGGGTCCTTGAGTGCTGCCACGTCCCCTGCTGCCACGAGGGATGCTGCCTGCCAGTGATGACATTGGGAGAAGAATGGGAGTAGGGGAGGGAGGGGAGGGAGGTCAGAGAGGAAAGCAAGGGGGAGAAATTTTCTGGCAAATAAGAAAGGATGAGGAAGTAAACCATTATTTCGTGTTATTCTCACACTCACCCACTGCTTGAGGTTGACTTGGTTTGACTCGATGTTGTAGACGGCCTTGCGAGCCGTGATCACCGCCAGCATCACCACGCCAAAGCTGTAGGCAGGTGGGGGGAGGCAAGGATGGACGGTAAGGCAGGCAGCGCGGTGGGAGAGCAAGGCAGTGAGCAAGGACGGGCACCAAAACAGGTGGCAAGGGAAGAAGAACAGCGGAGTAGCAAGTCTCATTATGAAATTGCTTGTGCGTACACCATGCTTCTCATCAGCAATAAAGGAAACAGCTACTACCAAAGGATGCAAGTAACATATCATTCGCACCTGTGCACGTCCGCCTTGGGAGTGGCTTTGTGGGAGCGGTAGTAAGCGGGGTCCACATAGCCTGGTGTGCCCATGACTCTTGTAGCCGCCACAGATGTACCTTCCCCAAGTCGCACCAGCCCGAAGTCAGCGAGCTTGGCATGCATGCGTGCGTCCAGCAGGACGTTGGCGGGCTTGATGTCGCGATGCACGATGCCAAAGCTGTGCAGATACTCTAGTCCCCATGCCATGCCTATGAGAATGCTCAGCCGTTGCTGCATTGTGAGAGGGTGGGGTGCGTCTAGGAAAAGAAGACATGGAAGTTGGGAGATGGGGAGCTGGGTGGGTTTATGGACGAAAGGTGAGCCTCGTTTATGGATGAAACGAGAGCCTCCAGGTTTCATAAGATTGCATAGAATGGATAACATAGAACCAATAACATTGCATGCGCGCCTAGAGCTGGAAACAGAACAGGTTGTTTAAGATAAGGCTGTGACAGCGGGTGAGGACGTGCATATGAACTCCACAGAAAAGGCAAAGCTGGCTTAAGGATTCACCCGAGGGCTAACGAGAGCAATGCAGACACAACTGGATGCTCGAGACGATATTTTTCTCCTCCCGTTCGACTAAGTAATGCAATATACTATTTCTAGTCCGTGCATTCCTACATGGTCCAATCCACCTGCGCTTTGCAACACATCATACCATGCTGGCTCAGTGGGTCCGATCCATCTGTCGAGGTCCCCGCCGCCATGAACTCATAGGCCACGATCTGCTCCATGTGCTCCGCCTCGTCAGACCATACCCACTCACCTGGTCCACTCCACTGGATTTCACTAGCGGGTTTCTCAGTCAAACGGTATCCACTCACTTGCTCCGATCCAGCGGTCGAGGTCACCGTTCGCCATAAATTCATACACCACAATCTGCTCCATTCGCTCCGCCTCATAGCTCATGTCAAAGCAGTACCCCAGCAGCCGCACCAGGTTTGGATGGCTCTTTGTCGCCATCTCGTTGATCTGCAGGGGGGTGGTTAGCAGTGCGGGTGGAAGCAGGGAGGTTTCTGAGAATTCTCAAAACCAACTACCAGCTTGCGGAGCAGCCGCACCAGGTTCAGATGGCTCTTGGTCGCCATCTCGTTGATCTGCAGCAGGGCCGTGGGATGGGGAGACAGCAGGATGAGGGGAAGCAGGCTGGTTTCTTGGAATTCTGAAAACCAACTATCCCAGCAGGTTGGGAAAAAGCTGGCAGGTTCGGATGGCATTGGTCACCACCTCACTGGTTTCGTTGGGCGGTGGGATGGGAGGAGGTTGGGTGGGAGGAAGCAGGGTGGGAGGGAGCAGGGTGGGAGGAAGCAGGGTGGGGGAAACAGCATCGAGGGAAACTGGTTGGACCAAAGAAGACACCCTACGGACAACGTTCGCCAACAACACTCCACTCACACCCAGTAACATGGTGTGGATACTTTCGAAACTACCAAGTGAATACAGAACCTGGCAGGGCGCCTCACCTCTCACCGGAAGTCGTTGGTGAGCATGCGGGATCGTTTCAGACTTGAGAATCTCGAAGTAAAAGCAGCACATGGCAAAGCAAGATGTTTCACCTCGCGCCGGAAGTCGTTGGTGAGCACGCGGGCTCGCTTCACTGCCCACACCTCCTTGGGGTTCCGCGGATTCACGCCCCTGTACACGTCGCCAAAGCTGCCGCTGCCTATGCGGTTGCTCTCTGCCCACCCCCCTGTGGCCCGAGCCATCTCCTCAAGGGAGAATCGCTGGCACACGTCTGGCCCAGCACCCGCTGCAGCACACAGCAGTGGCTGCGCTGCTGGCTCTGGTGCTGCCACTGCCACTGCGGCAGGTGCAGCCGCAGCAGCTGCAGCGGCTGCTTCTTCTGCTGCCCCCGCTGTTGCTGGTGTTGCTGACTGCCGTGCATGGGATGATGATTTTCTTGATCCCCTCCCGACTTGTTTTTGAGCCATCCCTGTTGCTGCTGCTGCTGCTGCTGCTGCTGCTGCTTTTGCTGCTGTTTGTGTTGGTGCTGCTGCTGCTTCTTGCGCTGCCATAGATGATGCAGACGGTATGTCAATAGCCACCTGTTCTGGGACCACTCCACCGCCTGCTGCTGCCGCTGTTGACGGCGCTGCTGCTGCCACTACTGATGGTGCTTCTGCTGCTGATGCCCCTGCCGTTGTTGCTGTTGCTGCTGCTGCCGCTGGTGGTGGTGCTGATGGTGCCGCTGCTGCTGCTGGTGCTGCTGGCGATGCTGCTATCGTTCCAGTATTTGCTCTGGTTATCCCTTTAGGTACCTCTGCCGTGGGTGCTGACGTGATTAGTTTTGGCGGCAGCTTGACTGGTGGTGGTGTAACACGTGGCAAATGCCACTCCTTGGATGCTGGTGTATCCAAGGAGTGGCATTTGCCACGTGTTACACCACCACCGGTCAAGCTGCCGTCAACACGTGTACACTTGGAGCCAGCCCAAATATGCTTTTTATATTTGAGAGAAAAGGCCAGGAGAAGCGACAGCAGTACGACACCAATCAAAAACCCCCACACAATGGCCACGACAATATTACTATCCATTGTAATACACTCTGGTGCGAGCAACGGGTCTGCTGTGGGAACTGAGAGCCCCTGCCTTGACACCACTGCCTCTGGGCGAATGGAAGCCCCACCACCCCTGTACGTGGGGGAATGGAAGCCCTTGCCTCACCACCCCTGCTCGTGGGGGAATGGAAACCTCTGGGCAATGATATCCTCTGCGCGAGAAGCTCCTGTCGCTGGGCGCCGCTTGGGATGAAACGCTTGGGGTGCCTAAAAATGCGTTAAGGATGATGTGTGCTCAGCACGTATCCATATGAATTAGTACAGGGGGGAGGGGATGACTGGCTGTTGATTGAATAGGTGATTTTTGAGGGCAATACGGAAGGAGGGAAAGGAGGGATGGAAGTGGGAGATGGAGGAGGAATGAAAGAGGGTGGAGGTCTAAAAGAGGACGGGAGCGCTTGCATCTGTCACTATGACGGGGTTAACAATGCCCCAATCTGCAATTCAACCTTTTCCTAAGGTCTACTACGCACACTTGGCAGTGACGTTGGCATCGCAGAGCTGATTCAAGAAAGAAAACAAAGAATAACCAACAAAAGACCAGAATTTATTTGAAGTGCGAACCTAAAACAATTGTCCATTGAGTGGTTCATCGCGAAAAAGGAAAACTGCGTTTTTTGGCCTCCGAAGGTTTTTCTGCGTCGGCCTTGCGAGAATGTTGCGGAAAGCTGCGGGAAAACAACGCACTCAAAGCGCAACATTCCGCACACCAAAAACGCTCGAGTACATCATACGGAAAATAGTGACTACACAGCAACAATACCGTGAAGCTTTCGAAAACCCGAATCGCACACCTACACCCCGAGTCGCTCTCCCCCTCTCAAATTTCTAGCACAAATTTCCGCGGTATTGTAAGTGCGGTTCGTCCATTCTGTCACTGTATAACTTCTTATCCCAAACAAAGTTGACGCTTACACACAAATGCCAAACATGGGTTGAAAACTCCATTCCAAATGTTCTCCCAGAACAGCCACTATTACATCAACAAGACAACCCCACACCCGTCAACCAGTCGTACGGTCCCGCGTACACACGACTCCCACTACTTTGCCCCACTGCACGATCCTTGCATCACTCGTCGTCCTCAGTCTCGCGCACCGCTGGGTCTGGCACGTCCTCCGGGCGCATCCCCGCGCGCGCACGCTTGACTGGCGTCCTGCCGAGGCGGGAAATCACCTCCTGGTTAGATGCTCCGACCTCTGCTGGCACGAGGGCCGGGGGAATGCCGAGCGCGTCGGCACGCTCCACGTACGCATTTGTTACGTTGCGAATCACGCGCCGCCTGCTGCGCTCGTCACGCAGCAGTGGGCCGTCTGGCAGACTCATCTCGCCCGACGAGTCATCCGACGCGCTGGCCGCAGGTGTGGCCCTAAACGCCTGCTCCACGCAGAGTCCCGCGTCGCAGTTGACAAACTCGGCCGCCGTCATATAGCACGCAGGCCTCATCTTGAACTTCTCGATTAGCAACTGCAGCTCGACGCTTATCGCAATGAGGGGCTCAAACATGCCCGTTGCGCTCGTGTCACTCAGGTACGCCATCAGTGGCGGCCAGCTCGGTGGCACGCATCCGGCGCGCCACCAGCTCCTCTGCATGGTGACGGCGCACACGCGAGTCCACGCTTCTCCCAGCCACTCGAGCATGAGGCCATAATCCACGTCCGCGATCGATGCCGAATAGTCGAATTGGAACCGCTTCGCCGCTATCGCACGCTTCATGAGCATAACGCGGTAATGGCCCTTCAGCGCATCCTCCACTCCCTGGAGGTGCGGAAGGCCCCCTTCAGGAACCGACCCACGAATGTTGACGATTCGGGTGTTGTTCAGGTGCTGCACACTGAAGCCGTGCTCCGTGACGGGTCGCGCCACCTCGCCTGTGATGCGATGCGCCTCGTGAATGGTTAGGATGAGGGTGTTGCGATCACGGCTGAAGTGCACACCATTGACAGTCTCCACGAACTCCGTGAACACCTGTGTGCACACCAGCAGACATAACGCACACCACCATCAGATGTACGGTGTGCACACTTGTGATGCACACGTCAGAGACGCACGGTACACACACATTACACATTGTCCCGTACCTCCGGCGTCAACCGCCCGCGATGCGTATACCGGACAGCCACCTTGCGACATGCCGCGCTCCCCCGCCTGCGCTCGGGCCTATCGTACGGCGATAGAACAACCAGAGGCACCGCGGAACAACTCCCCGTCGCGTTGTAAAGAATGCCGACGCTGACAATCCGCTCCGCCCCAACACGCTTATCCGGAATGTACGTCTTCGGAAGCCGGCTCGGGAGAAAATTAATCTCGTGGAAGCAGAACACGTCGTCCGGGTGCGCGGTAGCCAGCAGTCCCTTCAGGTCACCCATTGTAGCACTCTGACAACCAGGTTGGCAATTATGCGTTGAAGGCTGGAAGACCCCGTACTATATATGTTTCACTCTACCGGAACGTACCCCCATTTTTCCCCTGTACGCACACTGCGTACATCGGTTGACATGCCCCACACAACCAACCGACAACTACCCCTGCGCCGCTCGACGATAACGCACACATGTGAAACGCACACCTGTTACGTTCACATAGGCCATCTCGCGTTCCCGACGCCACGTACGCGTCACCCATATCCGACCAGCCAACGGCATGTGCTCGGTCGTTCACACAACCACACATTGAAGCGCGTCAACCTCGACCGCACAAACGTCAACAGTACTCATACTCGTTATGTACCCGACATTCAAACTGCACTCACCATTGACATTCTGTTTAAACTCTTGGGTCAACATTTAGCATACGTCAACTGTGCGGCCTACCCATGCACAATTGGCCATCTGATTGCCATATACATGTGTGCACATTATATCATCCGTGCATTTTGTGTTTCGCCAACTGCAACACTAACGGTACCATGACACCATCAATTCCAGCCACAATTTCGTTTACCTACTGCATTACTGTACCCATCCATCCTGCATTTCACACATCTACATCGTATAGCGTGTTGGTTGCCAACCTTGTGGATCAGCACTGCCGTTCCACCCCACCAACATGCATCGTCACTCACACAGCAAAAACCTGTTCACTAGTTGCACATTCTTGTTGCTATACGAAGGGCACACGTGCACCACTCTCTGCAGGCTCCTCAACTCCACCACCGAGTACCTCACCTTATCCACTTTCTTGTGCAGCTGCTTGCACCCCATAAGCTTGCATCTTCCCGCCCCCTCATAGTACCGCACGTATGCGTACCCCTTCCAGTCCCCCTCGCGGTCAACCGCCCTGAAGATGCACAGACATCTTGCAAACCAGTCCCCCTTCTTGTTGTTCAGCAGTGCCACGTCCGAATACCACCTCTCTCGGGGAGACGCCTTCACAAATGTCCCTTTTGCCACTAGCTCTCCGCCCCTTGTGCGCGGAATGGCCACCGCCGTGTGGACCTGCCACACCATGGAACCCAATCCATCATCAGATACCATCATGAGTGCAGTGACAACCAACGTGACAACCCCGGATGCGTCATGTAACGCTACCACATCATCACCTCACCTGCACGTTGTTGGTAGACAGCCCCAACGCCTTGAACTCATCGGCCATCCCCTTCATCTCGTCTCCAAGCGCGGCGGTGTACTCGTTGTACACTGGATCCGACTCCCCCCCTATGCGCATGATCCGATACTTCTTTGTAAGCACCGGTTTCCTCGTCTTGATTGCCTGCACGTGACGCCCACATGCACACAACAAACCGCATATCGCGTGAGGCACGGCTCTTCCCTGGTAAACCGCTCCACTATATACTCCCAATGGCCATCACCGTACCAATGACACCCGTACTCACCTCGCTCAATGCGGTCGCGTACTGTCGCCCACCCCCCGCGTCTGCAGCCACTTCACGGTACACCTCTCGCTGCACCTCCTCCTCCACAATGCGGCGTGGAATGTCGCTCCAGTTGCTCCCTCTTACTGGACCCTTAACCGTGCCCTTGTGCGTGCGCTCCCACATTTCCGTGGAATAATGGTGCGGCATCCCACGGTGGACAACGTTGTCCAGTAAGTGCCTTATCATGTGTATCTTTGGGAGTCTCCAGTGGGATGCCTGCTTTGGAAATGCCCGCGGTAGCAACTCCACCAACCTGCCACACCGTCCACAAAAGCATACAACACTCGATGAACCATCATGCATCCCATCGTGTATCACACCACATTGTCCGCACAATCACACCGCATACGCTCCCAGCACCCCGACCAACCTCTCGGCGTACCCAGGTATGTACTCACGCTATCGCATGCTGACGTGCAATCGCAATTGTTGTATGTGTGTGCCTGTCAACCCCCAGAAACGCCTTGTAAAACACAGCAAACAGCCGGAACGCTTTGACCTGCAAAGCACGCAGCTCTCCCTCCTCTCCACCCTTCAATGCACTCTCGTCAGCCACCAGTATCGGCATTATCTGCATCATGCTCCTGTGCTCGAACGCGGCGTAATTTGCGCCTGAACTGAAGAACGCTGAGCCCCCTGGGATTCGGAGGAGAACGCTAGGCGTGATGGCCTTGAACTCCTTCTTGCGTCTGCGCACAACACGGATTCGAAGAGCTCATGTAGCTGCACACATGGTGTCCTACAAACCAACTAACCCCGGCAAGGTAGAGCATGCCCAGTTCGACCACCCAGCAACACCCGGCTCACTGTTCAAGCAGCCGCATCTCAACCTTCCCGAGCGGCTCTATGTAGGTGTCCATCATGTGGATCAGCACACCAGAGTCCAGTACATGCAGCGTGTCTGCAAGGCATGCCAGATACACGTTGCCCCACTCTGTGTCTGCAAAATTCCACCTGTGAAGCACGCACTGCACGGTGCAACGGAGGACACGACGGTGTCAAAACGTGCCCACTGGAACCCTAAACGAGTATCCTATCCAACTCGAAACACACCTCGATCGGATGGGTTGACCACAACCTCCGCACATCGTCAGCGTCGCTTTGCTTCTTACACGCCAGGATCTGTCGGACAATGTCCCTCTGCTTCTCGGGGGTATGTGGATCTACCTTCCCCACCATCATGGTCAACTCCCCCTTGTCTGCATAGCAGTTAGCGCATGGTCGATGCGACCCTTGCTGAAGCGTCGCAGATGCTCTGCTGGATTCAGGGAAGTCGGCAGGGCATCCGTACAGGCAAGGGACCGCCTTGTGCACCTTCCCGTCCGCGTCTGTGCAGTAGAAGAAGCGAACTGGCGCGCTGCGCAGTGTACAAATGCACACATGGTGTGCAGTTAGTGATGTTACATATACACAACTCGTAGTCCTCTCTCCACTCACTACTTGATGGGGTGCCCACCACGGGCGACTTCGTGTAGTGTCAAACATTATATATGTTGGGTTTGTTAGGCTACAGTGGGTTAGCCTATATGGGGTACACAATTCTAGGGTTTGCTATTTGTACTGATCTCTCTGTTAGTTCAATCATTCCAGTCTCTTCTTCTGACATGGTTTCAGAGCAGGTCCTTCGCTAGGACCGTTCTTAGGGCCCACCACTGAATACCTACCTACCTATCTACTGTCGGAGTGCTGCGTTAGCGCCTCCCCCTTTCAGCGCCCTAGTGCGCCCTCGTGTACGGCCCCTTAAGGCTTCGTTGACCCCGCGCGCCGCCCCTTAGTGACCCGCGCGTCGCTCCTTAGAGGCCCCGTCGACCCGCCCGCGGCCCGCTTAGTGGCCCCGTTTAGCCCCGTCGACCCGCTTACGGCCCCGCTTACGGCCCCGCTTACGGCCCCGCTTACGGCCCCGCTTACGGCCCCGCTTACGGCCCCGTCGACCCGCTTACGGCCCCGCTTACGGCCCCGTCGCGCGCGCCCCACTTACGGCCCCGTTTGGCCCCGTCGACCCGCCTGCGCCCCGCTTAGAGGCCCCGTTTGGCCCCGTCGACCTGCGCGCGCCCCGCTTACGGCCCCGTTTGGCCCCGTCGACCCGCACGCGCCCCGCTTACGGCCCCGTTTGGCCCCGTCGACCCGCACGCGCCCCGCTTACGGCCCCGCTTGACCCGTCGACCCCGCGCGCGCCCCGCTTAGAGGCCCCGTTTGGCCCCGTCGACCCGCGCGCGCCCCGCTTACGGCCCCGCTTGACCCGTCGACCCCGCGCGCGCCCCGCTTAGAGGCCCCGTCGACCCTATCCGCCGCCCCAAAGCGGCTCCGTCGACCCTACCCGCCGCCCCTACCCGCACCGCACGCGACAGCCGCGGCCCCGCCAGCAACAGGCCGCCCGAACCGAGCAGCCAGAACCGAGCCGCGCCGCCCGCACTGAGCAACTTCTCTGGACCGAGCCGCCCTACCCCTGTCGCGCTGCCCACTGCGTTTAGGACTCACTTACTGCTACTGCTACGGCTACTCCTACTGCTACTATGGCTACCCCGCCTGTACTATCTTTCGATACTGAGGGCCGCCCAGTGAAGTTTGATACTTGGCTTGATGACCTGCACCTCTTCCTGCAGCTCACTGCCAAGGAGGATATCTCACTGTATGACCACGCCCTCGGCCATGCTCCTGCCCCTGCTACTGATGCTGACAGCACTACCCGCTCACAGTGGCAGACTCGTGACGCTCACGCTCGCTTTGCCATCCGCAACTCCCTGCCGTTAGATGAGCGCGAGCACTTTGGCCAGTGCAAGACAGCTAGGGACCTCTACACCGCTGTAGTTGCCCGTTACTCCTCACCCGCTTCTGCTACGCTAGGCCGCCTCACTCTTCCCTACCTGTTCCCCGACCTAGCCTCCTTTCACACTGTCGCAGACCTCATCACCCACCTTAAGACTAGTGAGGCCCGCTTTCGCGCTGCTATGCCTGCCGAGTTTCTCACTAGCAACCCCCCCCCGCTCTGGATCACTCTCTACCACATCGTCACCCGCCTCCCTGACTCTCTGCGCGCAGTCAGGGACCACTTCCTCTCTCGCTCCCCCACTGAGCTCACTGTTGCCCTCCTCGAGAAGGAACTGCTTGCAGCTGAGGCGAGCATCGTCGCTGTAGGCACCTCTCGTGGCGACCCCCGCACCCCGTTCTTCGAGGGGTGTTCCCCTTCCCCCCTCCTCCCCTCTGTCGCCTCTGCTGCTGCTGTCGACCTCCTTGGTGCTGAGAAGGTCGGGACTGCGTCTGCTTCGAGCGGGCGCCGCAGGGGCAAAGGGGGCAGGGGCGGGGGTGGCGGCGGAGGAGGTGGGGGTGGAGGCGGTGGGAGTGGAGGCGCGGCTGAGGAGGCTAGTGGCGGTAGTGGGGGAGGCGACAGCAGCGGCGGGAGTGGTGGCAGGGGCGGAGGCGGCAGCGGAGGCGGAGGTGGTCGTGGCGGCGGCAGGGGTGGAGGTGGCCGGGGCGGAGGCGGAGGGGGTGGTGGTCGTGGGGGCACTGGCGGAGGGCAGAGTCAGCAGTCCGCCCCGACGCTTCAGGCCGCCCGTGAGTGGTATGCGCAGCGTGGCTTTACCTGCACGTACGTCATTCGCACAGGTGACCGCAGCGGCCAGCAGTGTGGGAGGCCGCACCCCACGCAGCGCTGCTTCGCCCGCCTTACCGACGCGTGGCGCACCCAGTTTCCTACTGCCGCTGAGCTGCCGCGCTGGCCTGAGCTGGAAAAGAGGGGCGTTGATATTTGGGCTTTAGACTTTGATGCTATTCTCACTGCCATGTATGCAATGTCTATTAGTGGAGAGGGTGCTCAGTACTTGCGTGTTCCGCCCGACCCGGGCATTCAGGCCAGTCCGGCTGCCGCTCTAGGTGCTAGTGCGTCCGCTCCCGCAGGTCCTGGTGAGGCTGCTGCCCTAGGTGCTAGTGCGTCTGTGCCCCCTGGTACTGAGTCGACTGCAGCACTGCACACCTTCACACTGGACTCAGGTGCTTCTCGCTCTTTCTTTCGTGACCGCACTGTCCTTGAGCCCCTCGCTCGGCCAGTTGCTGTCTCCCTTGCTGACCCCTCTGGGGGTCCGGTCATTGCGACCTCCTCCACTGTCCTTCCTTGTCCGGCGGTCCCGTCCGGCACGCTGTCAGGTCTCTACCTCCCCTCGTTCTCTACGAACTTGGTGGCAGGTAGTGCGCTCCAGGACGGGGGTGTTCACCAGTTCACCCCTGCCTACGAGCGCGTGACACACTGCACGTGTGCTCGGACGGGTCGCCACCTGGCTACCTTCACTCGGGAGCCGGGGTCGGACCTTTACACACTGACCACTGTGTCCCCTCAGGTAGCTGCGTCTGCGTCTGCGTCAGGTCAGCTGTCCGCCCCCTGCTCGTGTCGCTCTCTGGCACATGAGACTGTCCTTTGGCACCACCGCCTTGGTCACCCGTCTGTGCAGCGCCTTCGGGCCATGCACCAGCGGGACCTTGTTGCTGGTCTTCCCAGGGTGCTCCCTCCCCTTCCCGACTCGCCTGCTCCTCCCTGTATTCCCTGTGTCGAGGGACGGCAGCGCGCCGCTCCTCACTCCTCCTCCTTTCCCCCGACGACTGCCCCCTTGCAGACGCTTCACATGGACGTGTGGGGCCCAGCCCGCGTCCGTGGTCAGGGTCAGGAGAGGTACTTCCTGATTGTTGTTGACGACTTCTCGTGCTACACCACGGTCTTCCCCTTGCGCGCCAAGGGTGACGTCCCTGATGTCTTGATCCCTTGGATCCGCAGATCTCGTCTCCAGCTCCGTGAGCGTTTCCGCTCCGACTTCCCTGTCCTGCGTCTGCACTCTGACAGAGGTGGAGAGTTTTCCTCTGGCCTATTGGAGGCCTTCTGTCAGCAGGAGGGCATTGAGCAGTCGTACACGCTTCCGGCCTCTCCACAGCAGAATGGGGTTGCTGAGCGCCGCATTGGTCTGGTCATGGAGGTCGCTCGTACCTCCTTGAGCCATGCGGCTGCCCCCCATTTTCTGTGGCCGTTTGCAGTCCGATACGCTGCGCATCAGCTTAACCTCTGGCCCCGTGTCTCCTTGCCCGAGACTTCTCCGACACTGCGTTGGACGGGAGAGGCTGGCGATGCGTCGTGTTTTCGGGTCTGGGGATCCCGAGCTTTTGTC